GGGGTAAGGGGCTCCGGCGGGCCGGGCCCGGCCCTGCGGGCAGCCTGCGGGCTGAGAGAGCAGCGATTACAGCCAGAGCAAGGAAACAGCCTTTGGGTGGAACTAGGTTTACTCTTGATGCATCAGTAGGTGTCTCGCCTGAGGTACAAGGAAGGAGGCGGCCTCCGCTGTCACGACCGGTAGCGGTGTGGTAGCGGCATTGTAGCAGTCCTTCCCAGGAGGACACCAAGGTGCCGCTTCACGTTTATTGCAGGTCACCACTGTGACTCGCCCGGCTGCAAAATGGTAACCTCCCTTTGGGAGTGCTTGCTTATGAATCTCAGGTTTTGCCATCGCATTCCACTTCATTCTGAAGGGAGTCAGAAGGTCTAACGAGATAGGCAAGAACTTCCATGCCTGTCTGTTCAAATAACCAGACACAAAAGAGGCCTGCCAACAAGAAGTATCTCGGCTCTTTGTGTATGTCAAAGGTGCGGCGAAGGAGGGTGGAAAAGCAGTCGTCTTTCATTTCAGGCCTTTTTCAAAGGGAACTGGCAGATCCGTTGTGAATCCAGCCTGAGGAGTTTCTAGTTGCTGGTTAAAGAGACTACGCCTGCCTTGCTCTTGCTCTGCGGCCTGTAGGTTCAGATGGTTTTGATGTGCAGAGGGTTGCGGTTCGGAGGGTTGATGTACGCATAAAATTCTCTAGAATGATGCTTATGAGGCAAAACCATCCCGTCTGGGTCGGTTCCTTCTGAGCCCCAGGGACACTTGAGTCACGCTGCTGTGGTTTGGTCCCTTGAACTGATTGGTGCCTACAACACAGAATTTTTGCTCCCCAGTAGTGTTTTGATGATTTGATCATTGTAGCAAAACATTTTTATAAAGACCAAGCACTGTTTAAATCCTAGGAAATTCGTTTTGCAAGATTTGTAGCGGTTGTGACTCTGGTACATTTGAAGTATATTCAATCCAGTTGCCATTTTAAGCAGGTGGAAACAAGACTTTCGTTGTTTTCCATGGGAACTGGATTGCAGAAGAATTTAAGGACCATTTGCTGGGGTTTTCTCACATGTTGGATTTTGAACCACAGTCCTGTAATCCTACAGGATGGCAGCATGAATGATTGATTATGTGAGGAGTTTGCATGATAAGTCATTTACAACAAGTGCAGTTTTCTCACGCTTATTTTAAGGAGGACCTTGCATGTGAAACCAAATTAACGCTCTCCATAACACTGGCAGCACGTAACTTTTTTTTGTGGTCTGTACCCAGCTAACGAGTATGCTGGCACTGCTATCTCTGTATTTGATGCAAAAGTTAGGAATTAATTGATCCCTTATGAAAACTCTTGCTTGCTTCCAGTGCCCGATGCTGAGCCCTGCTTTGTTCATTTGCTATTGTTGCAGTAGAGACTTCTATTCTGTAAGGAGCTAACAAGGCAAAGGTCTTGCAAAAGCAAACAGCTAAATGTAAACAGATTTTCATTTTGCTATCTGTTTGAACAGTGGATTTGCTGTATAATCCTGGGGCATTGGGTTAATGTGAACCGTGCTTCCAGTCTGTGGCCTGTGAAAGGTGCACCCCAAGTCTTCCCTGAATGGGGCTCTGAGGCCTTGCAAAAGAGAGAGAAAACATCCAGCTATCCTTTCCTACTTCCCTCCTCCAGCCCCGTGGTTTCTGTGTGACTTGGGAGGAAGGAAGTTATCTTCAGTGACCCAGGTCTCACTCGGTTAAGGTTGCTAGCCCTTGTCGCCAGTGGAGATTTCCCTCAGTTTTGCCCATACTTGTAGCTGTCTAAATACAACCTGCGGTGTACCACGGCAAAGCCACGGTTTGTATTGAAAATGCAGTTAGGGGAGGTCTACCCCTGTGACTGGGACAAATCCCTGACCTAGGCAAGGCTGGAGCGCTCTGAAATTAACTTTGGGAGTTTTTAAATCTCATTATTACAAAAGATTTTGCTCTGTCCAAAGCATAGTCGAGATATTTTAAATCCTGTTTCACTGTTTTGTGGCCTTTGTCCTAACACAGTTGGAGATGGTTTGTACAGGTAGCTTCCCTATGGTCGGCTCTTCCATGCTTTCCCAAATCTCACTTCTTTAAAAGGGGGGTTTTTCCTCATCACTTGACATTCATTTTAGGGAAGTATCTTTCCCCTAATGAGGAAGTATTGCATTGCATTTGTGCTTTAAGATTTTTCTTTCAAAAACCTCATGTAATATTTATACCACTACAGTTACAGTAAGCGAAAGCTTTCCTCAGAGTAGGAGCCATCTTTAAATGTCACTGCAAACCGTGAGCACTGCCCCTTCCAGATGAGTCAGGCACTGCAAACTGGAGGGAGGAGACGGAAAGCAAGAGGGCAGGGATCCTCTCACCATCATGTGATGCTGGCAGTGACTTGGATTTCAGGTCATGCAGTCTGTGTCCCTGTGTGTTTCAAGAATTCCTTTGCTTTTGAGGCAAATTGTTTAATCTCTTTCCTTTTTTAATGTTTTTTTCCCCCTCTTCCTATGACATTGGGGCTAAACCTTCCCTACTGCACAGGAGCGCTATCATGGGAGTTGCTCAGAGTTTGCCGTGGCGATAGGGGCCGTGTTGGTACCTGTAGTGAAGGACCAGCCTGTGCATATTTCAAAAGCAAAAGATTTGGTGAATCAGACAGCTCTAGGGATGAAGGTATGAACGGAAGAGGCCAGAGTTTTTTTTTAACTGTGATGAAAGACATTTAAGATCCTTTCAGCATCTGGCCTGAGCTGTCCAACCATTGAGAACTTGGATTCAGAAGCAGCTGAGCCTGGTGAAAGCGCTGTTGAACTCCTTCCTTTAGTTTGCAGCACAGGAGAAAGCAGCATTCCCCCTTGCTTTCCTCTTCCTTCCCTTAGTGCTCTTTTAACTTTCGTGTTTCCTCAAACCACGCGAGTTTTCTTCTGCTTTTTCCTCAATCTCTTTTCAAAAACTTTCCCTCCTTTTACAACATTCCCATTCTGTGCCACCACCCCCAGAGCGCTCTTTTTCCGTTAAGACTCAAGTGCGGCTCTTCCCAGTGGGGATGTAAGAGTTTGCAGAAGTCACTGCGGGACGCAGTACTATTTCATGCTGATTTTTGCTTTTCCCTCAGGCTGGGGGTTCTGTGTAAATGCAAACGCACACGCATACACTATATATGTATACACACATATGTACACGTGGACACACACTGACGCTTTCTGTCTGCCCGGAGCTCAGCTGCAGTCATTTGGCTACTACGTGATTCGAAGCGGCTCTCGGCGTTATCGCAGGTGCAGAACCGCTGACCGTCCGCACCCCTCTTTCTGTCAACGCTCTGGGGGTCTTCCCGGGTTGAGCAGACCCTCCAGCTACCGCCGGCAGGAACGTTAGCTGGGACCAAGCCAATAACGACTCCGTCCTCGTCCTGCTCGGGCCGCCGGTTTCCAGCAGGGGATTGCATTTTGGGAGAGGCGCCCTTGAAGGAAAGCGATGCTAAGGAGGGCACGTTAAAAATCCACCGTCGGCTCGAGTAACGAACAACCTGCAGGCCCGGTGGGGACTCGAGGCAGCGTGCTGCAGCCTGTCCCGCTGCCGGCTGCTCCCGCCTCCATACCCGGGCAGTACGAGGAGCACGGCACCCTCCCAGCGCGGGCAGCGGGTCCACGGCCCTGCTGCAGCCACC